GAGGGGGGGGGGGAGGGGAGGGGGGTGTTTTAATGAGCTCACTGGAAACTTACAGGGGATGTTAATAAGACAGAATTATGTGATGCTCGGCTGTATCAGTGATTACCTGTTAAATGATTTACATTGAAGCTGAACTCCGGGATGACCAGATATTGTCCTTATACAAGAGTCATGTGTATTCTTCCTTCAATCTCGATGAGCTTTGTGTATTTCTTCCGGATCTGTGGAGAAACTTGGAGCTTCCTGTAATAAAGACTGGTCACTTCTGCCCTCTCTCCTTGTGTTGCCTGAGACGGCATCTCTCTGGGTCACGTGAGGGGGCGGCAGGCAGAGTGGCATGCAGGGCCGGTCCTTACACCGGTGCCCGCAACTTCCCCACACGGTCACCGCTGCAGCCCCTCTGCGCTCTGCCGCCCCGAGGCCGGGCCTCGGTGGCCTTGTGGGAAATGCGGGCCTGGTGGCATGGCTGCTCTACTGCACAAAGATTGCAGTGTACCTGCCGCCCCTTTTCTGGCCAGAGTGTCCCAGGTTGCTATGAGCAGGACGGGGAGATGTGTAAGGGCCATAAACATCTCCCCACTCAGCTCTTAGGGGGGATACATCCCCCCCCAGCTCCTGGCACCCAGTGATGTCATCAGGCGGGATGCCGGCCAGAGCTGGGCAGGCAGATGATGCAAAGTCTCCCCCCCCCATGGAATGCAACACCCGCACGGTGAAATTGGTAGGGACGCCTCTGAGTGGATAGATATGCTTTGTGGATAGTAAGGAAAACTATTTAATTAAAAGCATAAAAAATATTTCGAGCGACCAAAGAAACGAGATACCACACCTCTAAACTTACAATTGGCAGGGGATGGTCACTTGCAGGTAAGGGGGGATTTTGCTGAGCTGTCTTGGGGGGGAGGGGACACGGGTGCCCAGCTTACTGATATCACCAGTTGCCAGGAGCTCGGCGGAACGCAAACCAGAGCACCGGAAAGCCGCACAGAGTTCTTAGCAATCGAAGATACTGTAGCTGCCCCACCATTACCTGGCTGTCCCCCAATGAGATGCCGCCTTATTATAGGGACGGCCCTGACCACAGGCATGACTCCCAGAGGTACAGGCGTGATAGAATTTGCTGAAGTGCTGATGTTGCCTACCGCTGCCCTAGCCAATTCCTGAACAAAGATGGCTACATCACTCTGGAGAGAAACGCAGGTGAAGGCATTGTCAGGGGGAGCACTGTGATCCCTATGAGAGGCAATAAACATCTGGAAGTGTTACACATTACATAGCCCGTATGGGAAAATATATCTGGTGGTAGATACACTTTAAGGACTGCCAGAAGAAGGCTTCATACACAGGAATGAATAACATAAAAGAACAATAAATAATGGTTAGTGTCCCTTTAATGGGCCTTTCTACTGCAGAATGGTTCAGGTTATGCAAACGGTAAAACTTCAGAATTGGTTCCATCGCTTTATGCCACATGGCCAAGAATGATTTCCATCACCAGACAGAACGTGAAGGAAGAGCCCCAAGCAGAATGCTCCCGTCACTGAGACTTAGAGCAAACTTGTCAGCTAAAGAATTCCTTTTCAATCCACAGCACATGTCGGTGTTCTTCTAATGAGTGAGAACATTCCAACTCCACTTTTCATTAATATGAAAATTAATCAACTTATTAATTTAAAGGGAAAAGCAGCTCTGAATTTCCTCCTCTCCAGAGCTGCCCC